TTGCTAGTTGCCATTGTGATGGCGCTGTCTCACAGAGACCGTGAGCGTCGGGTGAGTGGGATAGTGGTCCAGAACCATCCCCAGTACCACTGGTAGGTCTGTGTCCACTGCCGGGGCCACTGCGTCAGTCCATTTCGAGCAGGGTCGCCCTCGTCTCCACTGACATGAGGTCCTTTGCTAGCTAGGCTCTACTGTGACCCAGAGGGTTTCACTGGCTAATTTTCATAAACAGATAGCCAGGCTTTTCTTCCTTGTCTGTCTTAGCCTGGAAGCTGCTTATCAAGAGTGATCCTGCTGGTATTTGAAATGCCAGTGGTATCACTTCTGAGACTACAGCAACATGAAACTCACCACAATGTGACAGGCTGGTGGAAGACACAGACACACACCCACATACATGCATATATCGTTGTTGTTGTTGTGAAGTGCCGTCGAGTCGATTCCGACCCATAGCGACCCTGTATAGGGTTTCCAAGGAACAGCTGGTGAGCTTGAACCACTGACTTTGCAGTCTGATGCATCAGCCCACAGCGCCACACCAGGACTCCTATATGCATATATGTTGTTGTTAAGTGCCGTCGAATCGGTTCCTGACCCATAGCGACCCTGTATAGGGTTTCCAAGGAGCGACTGGTGAGCTTGAACCACCGACCTTGTAGTTCAAACGGCTTTGCAGTCTGGCGCATTAACCCACAGCGCCACACCAGGATATCTGTTGTTAAGTACTGTGGAGTCGGTTCCGACTCACAGCGACCCTGTACAGAGTTTCCGAGGCTGTAAATCTTTACAGGAGCAGAAAGCCTCATCTTTCTCCCATGGAACCGCTGGTAGTTTCGAACTGCCGACCTTCAGGTTAGCAGCCTGATTAGTAACAACTACGCTACCAGAGCTCCTTACATCAGGATATGGGGGCTTCAAAAAGCTCATGGAATGGAAAGAATTTTTCCATGAACTTTCTGAAGCCTCCTCGTGCACACAGACAGATGGGTAAGGCAGCAGAGGTGTGTGTGGACATGTATGTACATGTGTATATACAGCTAGATGCATATATGGGTATGTGTATATATGTCATATGTGTACAGATAATCACCAGTGTTGACGTGTTCATGTGCTTAGCATGGAGTCCTGGTGGCACTGTACAATAAGCACTGGACTGCTAACCACAAGGTCAGTGGTTCAAAACCACCAGCTGCTTCTTGGAAACCTTATAGAGTTGCTATGAGTAAGAACCAACTCACCAGCACTTAAGAACATGTATCTATCATGTGGGTGGATATGTATGTGTATCTATGTGCATATTAATATACATGTACCTATCGTGGGTGTATACGTATGTGTATCTATATGCATATGAATATACATGTATCTATCATGTGGGTGGATACATATGTGTATTTATGTGCGTATGAATATACATTTTATATTGGGTGTGTTATTTGTGCGTGTGTATATATGTATTGTTGTTAAGTGCCATCAAGTCATTTCCGACTCATAACTCTGTATAGGGCTTCCAAGGAGCTCTGGTAGCGTAGTGGTTATGAATCGGGCTGCGAGCTTCAAGGTCAGCAGTTCGAAACTACCAGCTGTTCCGCGGGAGAAAGATGAGGCTTTCTGCTCCTGTAAAGATTTACAGCCTCGGAAACCCTGTGAAGGGTCACTATGAGTTTGAACTGACCCGAAGGCACTTAATTACAACAACACCATAGGACTTCCAAGGAGTTCCCGGTGGCTTTGAACCGTCTACCTTAGGGTTAGCAGTCACTGCTTATTCCACAGCCCCAAGCCAGGATTTCATGTGTGTGTGTGTGTGTGTGTGTGTGTGTGTGTACCCACATACATATACACATCTATTGTTATTGTTAAGTACTGTTGAATCAGTTCTGACCCACAGTGAAACCCATTAGGTTTCCAAGGAGTGGCTGATGAACTTGAACCGCCGACCTTGTGGTTCAAACGACTTTGCAGTACAGCACATTTACCCACAACACCACACCAGAACTCATCATAGAAATCTATACAAATTGTTGTTGTTGAGTACCATTGAGTCAATTCCGACCCATAGCGACCCTGTATAGGGTTTCCAAGGAGCAGCTGGTGAGCTTGAACCACCGACCTTACAGTTCAAATGACTCTGCAGTCTGATGCATTAGCCCACAGCGCCACACCAGGACTCCTTGTATGTATATATGCATACGTATATATGTACATAGAGATGCCTCATGATTGGGCACATCTATGTGTATGCACACATCACCTGTGTGGGTGTGTATATGGTGTATGTGTATATCGCATGTGTGGGTGTGTGTATATCAGGTGTGTGAGGGGTGTGGATATGTATATCATGTGTGGGACGTGTATCACACCTATGTACATGTACATGTGTATGCATATATACCATGTGCACACACATACACACCCCTCTCCCTTGCTGGTCCTCTGCCTCTCTGGAGCCCCATCTCCTTGGCTGACACTGACCGGCACAGCAGTTCCTAGCCCACCTTCCCCACTCCCGACGGATTCCCAATGAGGTCTCCTGGTCTCCCGGGGCACAGTGATGTCCACGTGGCACCTTCATTAGGGGACCCAGCCAGATGACGGGAACTCAGGCCTGGGATTTGCTTCCAGATACTCCCCTGTCCTCCTGACCGCAATGTACCCATCTGCAGGATGGGCACACAACTCCCTGGCAAAAAGGGTGAGTGTGTGCAATGAAGAGAGGGCTGCAGAGCCTCGATCTCCACCACCACCCCTCAGCCCACTCCCCAGACAGCTGCATCCGGTACATCCCACAGAGCCCCCACCCATCTGGGCACTGCTGGTCACCGGTCACCTACCTCCCAACAAATGAGGCTCAGGGACACGATCCAGTCGGTCAGGGACACCCCCAGCACAACGAAGTAGGCCAGCAGCCAAGGGTTGTTCCGGTACTGGGACCACCCGACCAAGTAGCTCTGCAGGGAAACAGGTGGCTCAGCCCCGATCCCCATGACTGGCTGGCGTCACATGAGCCAGGCTCAGGGTGGCCAAATGCCAAGTGAATCCGGGCAGAGTCCACAGGGCACAGAGGGGAGATGGGAGGAGAGCAGAGGGGCATTCAGCCAGCCGTTAGTCCCACCTGGGCAACCCTCACACAGGGTACTTGCTCCTCCAGCCTCAATTCCCCCACCCCAGTATTCACATTATAAAATAATACACTGTAACCCAACCCTAACACTAGCCCTAACCCAAATGCTAACCCAAACCGGAACCCTACCTTATTAGGAGAATTTTTCTAGGTGCATATTTTTCTGTGCAAGTATTTTTCCATGTGCCCATTTAGGGCAGCAGGCTTTCTTCGTGTGGGCTTTAGTCGTATGAGCCCGACTGGGGTCTCCTCTTCCCACCACCCTCCCTCCTGCCCCCACTTGCAGAGGGCGCTGCTTGCTCCGGGGATCTCCTCTTCCCACCACCCGCCTTTCCCATCCCCGCCTGCACAGGGCGCTGCGCACTGGAGCAGGGCTCCGATCCCCTCTTCCGACCACCTGCCTCTCCCACTCCCTCCTGCAGAGGGCGCTGTTCGCTCCAGCCTGGTGCTGATCTCTTCCCACACAGAAAATAATGCATCTAAATGCTTAAGTCCTGCTTCCATAAGGACTCACTCAGGCCCAGGGGACACAGTCAGAAACACAGTCCCTTCCTGCTCCTACCCTGGGTGGGAGAGACCACCCTGCCCAACCATTCTGGCTCAGCTGGGGTTTCATCCATGTGGAAGTCTCACAGGGCTGTCCCACCCCAAGGCTCAACCCCAACTCAGCTGCAAGATGAGGGTTGGTGAAAACCTCTGTCCTGAGGCCCAGAACTTTCCAAAAAACCCTGCTCTTGGCTCACCTGGCCAAGGAGCAAAACCAGGAGACAGGCAACTTGCAGCTCCAAGAGCCAGAGGAGCAAAGAGGCAGCTGGGGCTGGGATGCAGAGCGGCCTCACAGGCCAAGGAGCCTGCCGCAGCTCCAGCCCTCACCACTTAACTCACCTTCACGGAGACATCGGCCACAAAGACCAGCAGGCAGAGCAGCTCCACGCTCTCTGTCAGGCCGCAGGGTGGCTCCCAGGCAGCGATGCGGAACCGGACATCCGAAGAGCTGGTGAGTGAGGATGGGGTCTCCACAAAAGCCAGAGACAGGATCAAGAAAATGGTGAAGCTCAGAATCCTGCCAAAAGGTCAGAGTCAGTTAAAGTGCAGAGCCAGGGGCCACCCAGCCCTGCTCAGAGGGGACAATCTAGTCCAACTCAGCTGCCTTGAACCAAAGGAACAGTATTTGAGCACCCAAAGGAATGATGGCCCGACATGGGCCTTGGACACGAGCTGCCCAGTGGGAGCAGGTGGACATGGGCCTTGGACACGAGCTGCCCACTGGGAGCAGGTGGTGGCTGAAGGCCACATGTTAGAGGACCCCATAGATCTGAAATGTCTACTACGACAGACAAATACAGAGACAGCAGACAGGCAGCGGGGACCCAAGAGTGACTGCTCACCGACATGGGGGTGACAAACATGGAAAAAGGCCCTGAATGGACCAAATGCCACTTTTAAATGATGAGTTTTAGAGCATGTAAATTTCACCTCAATGAAACAAAATTTCGCTGTCCCTGACTCCCAGGAATATTCTGGAAAGAGCCCACCAACACCAGAGAAGCAGTGTGGATGGGGAATTGGGGTGTAACCTGGGAGCAGCGGTGGTCTCCAGCACAGACAGGAAGTCACCCCTTCCCCCCAAGAGCCTGCAGGGTCCCAAGCAGCGTCCTCACCGCTGGCAGGAGCTGGAGTAATACCACCGGTACAACCACATGGCGCTGGCGTCCATGCGGTGATTGATGGAGCGGTACTGGAAGTGAAGGGTTACGGGGGTGTGAGTGAGCGGTCCTGTGCAGCACACATGGGTGCCCCTCACACGTGTGCCTTCAAGGTACACACACTGTCACCCTAGGCACGCTAACCTCACGGAACCTGAGAGCATCGCCAAAGCGCCCCGCCCACCACCACGTCCCTAGCCTCCCACTCGCCTCAGCTGTCCCCTTCTTCCCAACTTCATCCACGCATGCTCAAGATGTCCCAGCCCAGTCGCACATGCAGGGTCGCTGCCTGCATCAGTTCATCTCAAGGTCCTGTCATGTCACTTCCACGGCCTTCCCTGGATCCTGACAGACCCTCTGTGCGCAGCATCCACCGAGCCTGGCATGACCAGGGCTCATAAGGCGCAGCCGCTGCAGACCGACAGGAAGGGAAAGGACCAGGGGTGGGGGTGGGGGGCTGTCATGGCCTCAGTCAATGACACAGCGAGCACCCACCTTGATGGCATCCTCGATGAAGACCACGGCCTGATCGATGCAGAGCTCCTGACCCGCCTTGGTGCCTGGAGGGAAAGGACACAGACAGAACTGGGTAGTCTTTCCAGGACCCCTTTGTAATGATACCCCCGCCCCAGGACTGCTGCGTGACCTGAACCCAGGACACGCTCAGAACAAGAGGGACCAGACCAGGGTCATCTGTCCATATGCCAGGTAACCAGAGCTAAAGGAAAAGTGGTACCAGCCAGTATTCACTGCCTAGAGACAGGGACAGGGACCGTGAGAAGCCAGGGGCAGAGCATCCGACCTCTCTGACCCCATCTCCAGCTCTGTAAAACAGGGGTGTCAGAGTCGGGGGAGGGGAAAGGGGGGAGGGTCGCTGTAGAATGAGCACTGAACTACTAACCACCAAGTCGGCGGTTCAAACCCACCAGTCACTCCTCAGAAACCCTACACAGGGTCACTATGAACCAGAACTGACTCAAAGGCACTTAGCAACAACAGGGCCACCCAAGCTAGACCTAGGCAAGAAGGTCAAGAAAGCGCATGCTCTGTGATTGGGCTGCTACACGCCCCACTCTCTGGCCTTGTCCACTGGAGGCCTTGGCCAGGGTGCTGAGCCCAAAGATGGGGTGACACTCCACACATCTGCCTACCGTGCAGCAAACAGGAACACGGGCTTGAAGTTGCCGTGTAAAAGTCACCTCTATAATCATAAAAAAGGAGCTCTGGTAGCGTAGTGGTTACGAATCGGGCTTCGAACTGCAAGGCCAGCAGTTCGAAACTACCAGCTGTTCCGCAGGAAAAAGATGAGGCATTCTGCTCCTGTAAAGATTTACAGCCTCGGAAACCCTGTACAGAGTCACTATGAGTCGGAACCGACTCCACGGCATATAAGCAACCAACCAATAATCATATAGGCACCAACATCAGTCGTCCTCAAACACTGAGAGCCAAGAAAACCCCACTGGCTTGGAGTTCATCCCCACTCCCAGAACCCTAACCATTTCCAAATCATTCTCTCTCGCCTTTCTGTTTCCTTTTCCCCTTCTTTCTTCTCCTTCCCTCATCTGCAGGAAACTGCCCAATGGTTTGTCCCACTGAGAAAATAAATGAACATTGTTTTCCTTCCAGTACGTGATGTGGTGCTGTAGGATCAGCACCGGACTTTGAACCACAATGTCAACAGTTCAAACCCACCAGCAGCTCCTCACAAACCCTATACAGGGTCACTGTGAGTTGGAACCAACTCGACGGCATATAACAACAACATGAAAAAAAGAAAAAAAAAAGTTCCCTTTTTTCCCTTCCTTTTCTTTTCAACTGCCTTCCCTGGCACCCAAGTGAGCACGTGTCTGTTGTTAATAAATGTCGAGTCAGTTCCGACTCATAGGGATCCTGTCTATTTAGGGTTTCTGAGGTTTTAATCTTCACGGGAGCAGAAAGCCTCATCTTCCTCCAGCAAAGCAGCTGGCAGGCTCGAACCTTGAACCTTGTGGTTCACAGTCCAGTGCTTAATGTATGGAGCCATCACACTCCTGCCTACACTGTGTGACAATGGTTAGGGGCCATCAAGTCGGTACCGACTCTCAGCAGCCTTATGCACAACAGAATGAAACACTGCCTGGTTTTGCGTCAACCTCACAATCTTCGCTACACGCAAGCCCATTGCCGCTGCCACTGTGCTAATCCATCTCATTGGGGGTCTTCCTTTTTCACTGACCCTCCGCCTTACCAAGTATGATTCCCTTCTACAGGAACTGGTCCCTCCTGATACCATGTTCGAAGTGTGAACGAGGAAGTCTGGCCATGCGGGCTTCTCAGGAACATTCTGGCTGTACTTTTTCCAACACCGATTTGTTTGTTCTTTTGACAGCCATGGTAATTTTATTCTCCTCGAACACCACCACTCAAATGCATCAATTCTCCTTATTCATTGTCTTCCTTATTCATTGTCCAACTTTCACATACATATGAGGCTACTGAAAATGCCATGGCTTGGATTAGGTGCACCTTAGTCCTCAAACTGACGTCTCTGCTCTTAAACACTTTAAAGAGGTTTTGTGCAGCAGATTTGCCTAATGCAATAAGTCACTTGATTTCTTGACTCCTGCTTCCATGAGTGTTGATAGACGATCCAAGCAAAATGAAGTCTTTGACAACTTCAATCTTTTCTTCATTTATCATGATGTTATTCATTGCTCCAGTGGTGAGGATTTTTGTTTTCTTTACATTTTGAGATGCAATCCATACCGAAGGCTGTGGTCTTTGATCTTCATCAGTAAATGTTTTAAGTCCTCTTCACTTTCAGCAAGCAAGTTAGTATCATCTGCATATTGCAGGCTGTTCATGAGTCTTCCTCCAATCCTGATGCCACATTTTTCTTCATATAACCCAGCTTCTCAGATCATTTGCTCAGCATACAGACTGAATAAGTATGATGAAAGAATACAGCCCTGGTGCACACCTTTCCTGATTTTAAACCATTCAGTGTTCCCTAGTTCTGTTCAAACAATTGCCTCTTGATCTGTATACACCAGCCAGTGAATAATTCTCCCTTCCCTCCCACACCTAGTAGCCACCACACAAAGTTTATTACAGAATGAAAACCTTTTCTTGACTTTTTAAAGCAGTAGTCTCATATAGTATCTACCCCTTTGCAACCAACTAATTTCACTCAGCATAATATCCTCCAGGTTCCTCCACAGTCGGCGGTGTTTTACAGATTCATTGTTATTCTCCAATGTTGCATAATACTCCACTGTGTGTAGGTATCGAAGTTTGATCAACCACTCCTCTGCTGATGGGCATCTAAGCTGTCTCTATCTTTTTGCTGCTGTGAGTAATATTGCAATGAACAAGGGCGTGCAAATACCTATTTGTATCACAGCTCTTATTTCTTGAAGTCAAGATTGCTGGGTCATATAGGATTTCTATTTCCAACCTTCTGAGAAAGGGCCATACCATTTTCTACAGCGGTTGCACCGTTTTACAAACCGGGGTCAACCTGTAATGAATGTGTCTGCCCTGCAGCAGGTTTGCAGGGCTGGGACGTGGGACCCGGAAGAGCGGAAGCGGGTTGGAACAGACAAGGTGATGTCTCACAGAGGAAAGGCAGCCCCGCTCCGCATTCTGCCTTCCAGTACAACTTGGGGCTCTCAGGACACTTGCAGGGTAGAGAGCGTCTTGGGAGCAGGGGCAAGGCTGCTGGGGGCTTTGCAGAGAAGCCGGGCAGTTCAGAAAGCCTCTGCCCAGCACCCCCACCTGCACAAGGAGCTGTAACTTTGTGTCTGTCCCACATTACGGTCACATGGGTGTAGGGTCGGGCTGCACAGAGAACCATCTGATGAGCAAGCAGGCAGAAGTCATACTCACAGAGGCCTTGGGGCCAAAGTCCACCCAATGATGTCCAGCAGTGAGGGCACCCAGACAGCAACACGTGAGTCCACCCAGAGCTTAGAGCCGAAAAGACAGCAAGAAACATGCAGCCTCTCTGCTCAAGAGTCTGTGGGGCTGCGGCTGCTGAGGCTGACCTCAGCTGGCCCCAAGGAAATGTGAAGAAGGAAGGTGATAGCAGTGGGCAGCTTGGGAAAACCCCAGCCACTGACCACTCTGCCCTATTCCTGTCCTGGGGCTCATGCTCAGCGCCTCAGGGACCCAGGGACCTCATCCTCGTCCTGCCATATTTCTCAGGGCACCCTCTCTGAGTGGCCTGGGCCTCCCCACATGGATGGCCACAAAACTGACCCTGAGGAAACCTGTAGGTGTCCTGGGAGAGCCAAAATCAGAGGGACCACCATTGCCTGTGTCCGCAGACGAAGCAGGGACGGCAGGGGATGGAGAACATCAAAGCACCAGGTACCTGAGCCCCAAGGGAGGCAGGGGTTGGGGAGCACTGGGAATCCCCACAAGGCCCCAAACTAAACACCCCACAGCTACCCTGTACAGGATTTCCAAGACTATCAATCTCTACAGGAGCAGACAGCCCTATCTGTCTTCCTCGGAGCAGCTGGTGAGCTTAAATAACAGACATTGTGATTAGCAGTTCAACACCTGACCCATGGTATCACTACAGGGCTCCTCCCAGAAGGTCTTAGGATGCCCCCAAGGTAGAGCTGATGTGCTCTGGGGAGCTCCAACACTACAAGTTTCCCAGACAGGGAGGAGGGGGCCATGAGGGCACCCCCTTCAGAGGCTGCAGACCTCCTCAGTCAGAACCAGGCGCTTGGAAGGGGCACGTGCCCAGGCCAGCCATCTGGAGCCCCCCGGGCCATCCTGGTGTTTTTCTAGCAGGGCAATCACTTTGCCAGCCAAAGGGCCATGTTCTGACCCAGGCCCATGAAGAGAAAACAGCCTCGTGCACACTGCCCAACCTCAGGGTCCACAGGCTCCTGCTGGCAGAGTCCAGTATGGGGACGTCTACCCTGAGCACAAGGAGCTCTGGTAATGTAGTGGTTACGAATCGGGCTAACTTCAAGGTCAGCAGTTTGAAACTACCAGCTGTTCTGCAGGAGAAAGATGAGGCCTTCTGCTCCTGTAAAGATTTATAGCCTCGGAAACCCTGTACAGGGTCGCTATGAGTCGGAACCAACTCCACGGCACGTAACAACAACAACCCCGAACACAGGCCCCACGCAGGAGCCCTTCTTGCGCCACGTTGCCCGTCTGCCAGGTTGCCGCGATGGGAACACAGGGCTTCCTGTCCCTGACCTCAGCCGCCTTTGCTGGGGTCCACGCAAGGACAGAGCATCCTGGGCCCCTCACTGGCCCACAACCACAGCCGTGCTGTCAGCGTCTCAGCAGTGCAGCTGACCAGCCAGGACAGAACTTACAAAAGCCACTGTGCCCCTGTCCGAGACACACCCGGATCACCCACCCTGTGCCATATGCTAGAATGTTCTTTGGGCCATCTCTGACCCTTTACAGCATCCCTCTGGTCAGCACTTAGTCCAATTCATTGCAGCCCCAGAGAACAGAACACAACTGCCTCACAGCGTTTCCAAGGCTGTCAACCCTTACAGAAGCAGTCTCAGCAAAGCTGGCTGGTGGCTTTGAACCACTGACCTTGCAGTTAGCAGCCCAACACTTAACCCACTGTGCTACCAGGGCTCGACTCAACAGCACTTAACGACAACATTTGAAAACAAACAACAAACCAAAGCTGTTGCTGTCAAGTCATTTCTGACTCATAGTTACCGTATGTGCTACAGAGAAAAACTGCTCCATAAGGGTTTTCCTAAGGAGCTCTGGTAGCGTAGTGGTTACGAATCGGGCTGCGAACCTCAGGGTCAGCAGTTCGAAACTACCAGCTGTTCCACAGGAGAAAGATGAGGCTTTCTGCTCCTGTAAAGATTTACAGCCTCAGAAACCCTGTACAGGGTCACTATGAGTCGGAACCGACTCCACGGCACATAACAACAACATGGTTTTCCTGGTGTCCTGGTGTGGCACCCACCGTAGGATAAGCCCTCAACTTCAAGGTTGGTTTGAACCGCAAGGTTGGTGGTTCAAACTCACCAGCCACTCCTTGGAAACCCTATACAGCGTCGCTATGAATCAGAAAAGACTAGACGGCACTTAACAACAAGGTTTTCTTGTCTATTATCTTTACATAAGCAGATTCAGGTCCTTCTTCCACCATACTGCTGGGTGAATTCAAACCTCCAACCTTCTAGCTAGTAGCGGATGCAAACCTTTTGTGTCGCTCAGGTACCCTGGGCAGCACTACGACCACCTACCTTTTCTGAGACTCTGAAAGGTGGAAGGTATTTGCCAAGGTCAAGGGGGGGTGGGGGTGGGCGCAGCACCAAAAAGGCACAGGGCAGGCCTCTGTGTATTAAGACACCAGAGAAGGTGCCCAGGGAAACTTCTGAGATAACACAGATGAGGTGATCACCCCAAACTCTAATTTGGAAGACACCCCCCTTCATATGCCACACTCCTGAAGACCAGTTCTAGGGACTCCTGGTCCAACTCAGTGCCCTCCTGGACAGAAGAGGGCAGTGAAGTCCAGAGTGTGGAAGTGACCCCACATAACTGTTCAGCTGATTCCAGTAGACGCTGCACTAGAACCCAGGGCTGTGATCTCACGCTCATCTGGGGTCCTCTGTGGACCTGTTTCCTCGTCTGTACCTGAGAACCCAGGGACTGGGCGATTTCTGTATTAACAGGAAGGGACTGAGGCTGGTGCCTGACGGAAGACACTGACCCGGGAGAGCAGCGGAAGAGAAAGTTGCCTCTCGGTGGTCTGCCCCAGCCTCCCCGGACCCTCCACTCATTCTAGCCCAGGAGTTGGAATTCCAAGTCCGCCACTGCCACCAGCTGGCTGTGCGACCTTAGAGAGGCTCCCTGCCCTCTCTGCGCCTGGCTCCTTCCCCCAGGAAATGGGTCAATTACAGTCCACTTCCAGGGGTCATCCCGGGGACAGCACGTGGCCCGGGGTTCTGGAAAGGGTGGTCCTGGGTGTCGAAGTCCGCTCCCCGGCTAGGTAGGTCGGCAGGACCCGGCGCCCCTCCTCTGACCCAGCCTGAATAGGGTCCCTTGGCCCCTGGCAATCCCGGCAGCGACGCGGAGTGAGGGGCCGAGAAGCCCCTACGCGATCCCTGGCCCCGGCGGCTCACCTCTGACCTGGGCGCTGCGGCAGGTGGCCACCGCAGCCCTCGCCACCTCCGCCGCCGGACAGTCGTGGCCGCGGGCCCGGCCCAAAAGGGGCTCGGACTCGGCCTGGGGCTCCGCCATCCCGTCTCAGCGTCCCGCCCTCACCGCGGAGCACGCCGAACTCCACTGCGCTTGCGCGGCCCCCACCCTAAGGTCCAGGAGTTCGGGTGGGCGGAGCGCCAGCTCTGTGACATAGGGTGTACCCCCTTCGCTACCAACCAATGATGACGTGAGTACCGTGGAGTGGGCGGGGATACATAGGGTTCCGCCCATGGATGTGTCTCGGCTACTTTCCACTGGGCAGGGGCTTAGCTTAGGGTTGTAGGGACGCGCCTAGGACTGGAAGGACTGCATTAGAAGGAACTTGGAGATGCAACTTTCTCCTCGACCTGCTGAGTCAGAAACTCGGGGTGTGGAGCTTTCGCAAGCCCTCAGGGAAATACTGCTATTCTCTGCAGTTTGGGAACCTTAGGACTTAAGTGTTGGATGGAGCAAATGGTGAACCAAAGGGTTGGCAGTTCAAACACACCCAGAAGTACCTCGGAAGTAAATCCTAGCGATGTGCTTCTGATAATCCCATCTTCAAAAACCCTATGGAGCGCAGTTCTCCTCGGCATACCTGGGGTCACCATGAGTGATAATCAACCCAGTGGCAACTAGCAGTTGGCCACACTGGGCACGTGGGGTTCCCCCCCATGATGCAACTTGAGTTCACTCTGATAACAAAATTATGAAGAATAAATATAACTGATTTAAAAAGTCAAATGGCACATTTGAAAAAATATTTACAATATACAGTTATGTGTTGCTTAGCTCAAGCAATTTCCAGCCACATATATACATCTGTGGTCCAGTAAGTTGTTTGTTTGTTTTTTTTTATCAAAAAAAAAAGAAAGCAGCTTTTGTTTAATCTTTCCTCTTAATGGTTTTAATATTTTGAACTTTGGGTAACCAAAGCAAAATGAAGAGATGATGAAGTAAAGAGCAGAATGAAGCTCTCAAAGGGCAGCTCGAGAAGACAAAGTAAAGCATTATAAGGAAATGTGTGAAGACCTGGTGTTAGAAAACCAAAAAGGAAGAACATCTTCACCATTTCTCAAGCTAAAAAGGAACAGAAGAAAAAAATTTCAAGCCTCAAGTTGCAATTTCAAGCCTCAAGTTGCAAGGAGTCTATGGGCAAAATATTGAATGATGCAGGAAGTGTCAAAAGAAGATGGAACCCTACCCAGAGAAGCAGTGATACCAGAGATGGAGGCAGGGACGATGACGTGGAGAGATGGAGCAGCTGGGAACTCTAGACCCAATGAGGGAGAGGGGCTGTGTTCTGACGACTGGGGGGTGGGGGGGCAAGCTTGTAGTATATACCCTTTGGTTGGTTGCTGATGCATGGCGGGGATTGTAACCATGGCAATGAAATGGTATACGATAGGATGAATGTAAAACTAATGTTCTCCCATGTAAAGTATCACATAATTCGCAATAAAACATTTAAAAAAAGATGGAACAAATACAGACTCCGTACCAAAAAGAAATGGCTGATGCATAAGTGTTTCAGGAGGTAGCAGATGATCAAGAACCGATGTTGTTGAAGAATCAAGTCCAGGCTGTGCTGAAAACAATGTGGAAATCAAGGCTCCAGGAACTGATAGAATACAAATTGAAATCTTTCATCGAACTGATGCAACACTGAAAACAATCACTTAGCCTATGCCAGGAAATCTGGAAGACAACAACCAGACCAATTAAAGGGGATCCAACAGAATCTGGAAATGATTCAACAATATCACTAATATCATACACAAGTACAAATTATGCCAAAGATAATTCAAAAATATTTGAAACAGTACATCAACAAGAGACTGCCAGAAATTCAAGTTGGAGTCAGGAGAGAGTTTGAAACGAGGGATATCATTGCTGATGTCTGATGGATCTTGGGTGAAAGCAGAGAATTCCAGAAAGCAGTTTACTTGTGTTTTATTAACTATGCAAAGATATTTGATTGTGTGAAACATGGGTAGTATTGTGAGAAATGGGAATTCCAGAACACTTAGTTGTGCTTATGAGGAACCTGTACATAGACCAAGAGGCAGTCATTCAAACGGAACAAGGCGACACTGAATGGTTTAAAACAGGAAGGGAGTGTCAAGGTTGCATCCTTTCACGATACTTACTCAGTAAGTACACATACTTCTCATCTGAGAAGCTGGACCACATGAATAACACTGAGGGTGGGGTGGGAGGCTGGGAGGTAGATTGAAGTCTGAGGAAGGAAAGCCCATTATGCCAGCAAAGGCAGGAACCTACTCAACAGTAACACAGTTCACAGCAGAAATCAGAGCTGACACCTAGAACCAGCCACACCTTAATGGCGGTGGTGGTGGTGGTATGCTGTGGAGTCGGTTCCAACTCACAGTGACCCTGTACAGGGTTTCTGAGGCTATACATTATAACAGAAGCAGAAAGCCTCATCTTTCTCCCTCAGAACAGCTGGTAGTTTTGAACTGCTGACCTTGAGATTAGCAGCACAATTCATATGTGGCACTGTGGGTTAATGAGCCAGACTGCAAAGCCATTTGAACTGCAAGGTCAGCAGTTCAAGCTCACCGGCTGCTCCTTGGAAACCCTATACAGGGTCACTATGGGTCGGAATCGACTCGATGGCACTTGATAACAACAACACGACCAGAGCTCCTTATCCACACCTTAAGCTTTGCTTATAGTAGGAGTTTTTAGTAACAAGAGCCAGAACTGTCTCTTTTCTCTTGAGTCCAGTCTGACTTCAATTTCTCTCACTTGCTGTCGAAAGCACCATAACCTATGCAATGACCCGAAAGATGACAGTCTACACAAGTTTGGACTCCTCGGTTGAGATCACAATCATCTATTATGTCTAAATTAAGCTAGAGCAAAAGAAAAACAGAAGACTGTCTTAGAGAAGCATTCTTGTTTGCTGCTGGGTTGGGTGGGTGCCCAGAGCACCAATCTGGAAAAGGGCACTTCCAAGTGTCAGGGTGGCCAAGGGTCTCACCCCTCCCGAGCCACTTGTGTCTGTGTTCCATTCCCTGGAAAGGAGAGTCCAGTGGAGAAGCCTTAAGCCAGTGCACGCCCCCTTGCTTATGGGAGGCGATGAGAGCAAGGGCTTATGGGAAGTCCCAGGACACCTTTGTCCTCTGTGGAGGAAGGAACTGATTCTGAATCTCTGAGAAAGGAGATTGTGGATGTTGGACACCCCAAGCAACAAGCCTACCCACAACACCCTTCTTCCAATACAGGCATTTCTAATAAAGTCATGGTCACAGCACTTCCTCTGGGTCCTCTGTGTGGGCAGTGGGGTTCCCATGAAGTCACTGCTTTCTTCTTTTCGGTCTGTGTTCACATGAGTCAGCACACACATCCAGATGTGCACACACATCCAATCCAGGGGTGGGTGTAACAGTCTGAATGGTCAGCAAATTCCTCATGAGATTCCTACGTTCAGCCGGTCCAGAATCAGTCTGTGGATATCCATGAGGGAACTTCAGAAGGCTTGTGGAAAAATTTCATTAACTTCTAATTCCATTTTTCCATGTGAATGTAGACATGGGTATGATATGGCTATGGAAAAATCTGAAAAGGTGTGCACCAGGGTCTTATCCTTTCCCCACAGTTATTTCATCTGTATACTGAGCAAATAATCTGAGAGGCTGGATTGCATGAAGAAAAATGTGGCATCAGGATTGGAGGAAGACTCATTCTCGACATGGGATATCTAGATGTCACAACTTTGCTAGCTGGAAGCAAAGAGGACGTAAAATACACACACACAAAAAAAAACAACACTTACTGATAGGGATCAAAGAATGTAGCCTTCGGTATGGATTATACCTCAATGTAAAGAAAATACAAATCTTCATAACAGGGCCAATAACATCATGGTAAATGGAGGAAAGATTGACGTTATCAAGGACTTCATTTTGCTTGAATCCACAAGCAACACTCATGGAAGCAGCAGTCAGGAAATGACATATTGCAAATGATGTATGGCATTAGGCAAATCTGTTGCACAAGACCTCTTTAAAGTATTCAAGAGCAAAGATAGCAGTTTGAGGACCAAGATGCGCCTGACCCAAACCATGGTATTTTCAATAGCTTCATATGTATGTGAAAGTTGGACAGTGAATAAGGAAGACCGTAGACAATGCGTCATTCAGTGTCATGTTGTCAAGATCCCTCCATGATGACAAGACTTCATTTCTCTTCATGACTTGAATTGTGTAACTTTTCCATAACTTTAGGGAACCCCGGTGGCGCTGTAAGATAAGTTGTTGTTATGTGCCTTAGAGTGGGTTCTGCAATCACATCGCTGTTGTTGTTGTTAAGTGCCATGGAGTTGTTTCCGACCCATAGCAACCAATCACTTTACGCCTGCTCTATTCAGCACTCTCAAAGCCCGTTCCCACAAAGATCACTTCCCCGTGTGACTTTTCCTCTTCTCACTGGGTCAGGCAGCATCTGAGGACCATGAAGGCCAGACAGAGAGGTGACAAACACCTTTCATGCTGAAAGCTCCTATAGGGATGGGGGTGGGGTGATGGGGTTGGTGGAGCAGTCTCCTTAGACCTGTGAGGAGAAAAACCTGCTTCAGATGGGAGAAGCCTGTTCATAGTCAGGCTGCCCTGTGTCTTCTAGAACTTTCCTGGTAGCACCTTTCCCATGGACAGATCAGTCTCTCATGAGCAATGCCTGGCTCATAAAAGTTTGTTGAATGAATCACAAATAGGTAAGTGTGGTTGTGACCTCAATGGATGTTCTCATTTAGAAACTTGCACGATTTTTTTCCTCCAAAATCAATCTCAGTCTGAGGATCCAAAAAGATTACCATTTCTTTCAGCAGCATCCTAGAAAGTCCCTGAGACTCAGTGCGGATTTCAAAGCATGAAAACTTGAGCTGTCATTCTCTAGACTTTGTGATGTCAAAAGCAAGGACCCTGCTCCAGGGACCCAGAGTCATCCGCTCTCTGTGAAAGTCCAGGGAAGCAGTTCTACTGCTGAGCCAACCCCAACGTTATCTTTGGTTGACCTGTGGGGCCTGTTGACCATCC